TTAGGGTATTTTTGATAGCTTAGTCTTCGGTTATTATAACTGCCGTAGTTAGAGATGAATAGAGGTTTAAAAGGTTTTTCTATTGATATTATTATTACGATTACTTGTTCTTGACTAACGCCAAGATGTCAGCGGCGCGCCTAAATATAACCTTATCTCCGCTAAAGTACAGAATAGGTAGGCACTTTCTCCCTATAACTTGGTAGCAGTTAGTACAGAGTAGGCAGTATTACTTAGTAATACGATATTATTATTGGGAGGGTGTACCTATTCTGTGCTGTGCTGTACTTGTAAAACAGATGCCTTCGTTTTCTTGCTCGTGACTGCCTTCGAGAAGTTTTATCTGTTGCATGTACTCTGTAGATAGATATCTGATGCTTACCTATATCGTTCTCCATTATTAAATCTATCAATCGATTCAGACCGCGCAAACCGCATACCGCATACCGCATACCGTAAACCGCAAACCCCGACTGATCCGGCGCTCTCCATTTTTGATTCTTGTTTTTATCCGTCTTCGTCGCTCGTCCCGCCACCATGTCCAGCGACCTCCGCCGGGTTCCCTCATCTGGCGCCGTCGAAGTCGGCTATCCGACAGGACATCTCGGCCATCTCACCGAACACGAGGCGCAAGCTCTCCTAGACTTCAAGACCCTCTTAGAACAGAAGGGCATCTACACGCCAGGCAACCCTCCGTCCCACGACGATCCCACATTACTGTGCGTACCCGAACCCGTCCGTGTATCCCTGTCTAATGAATTGTCGCTGACTTGTCGGTCGCGCGCGAATCCAGGCGATACCTGCGCGCGCGGAAATGGGTGCCGCAGGACGCATACGTGCAGTTTGCCGAGACAGAGGCGTTCCGGAATGCCAACGAGATCGAGAAGCTGTATGACACCATCGACATCGACTCGTACGAGGCGTCGAGAAAACTGGTATGCAGCCACCCTGCACAGAGCCCCTGATTGACCGAACCCAACTTTAGGGTTTGACAGGTCGGTACCAGGGAATAGCTGACAGTTGGTTGGTTTGACATGTAGTACCCGCGCTTTACCGGCCGACGAGACAAGCGGTAAGGTCTTCTCTGCGACGCACCGAAAAACCTTGTGTCGCCCTGTTACCCTTGCTGCCTCTACCTCCGCATAATGCGCGATGCTGACGGGCCGTCTTTCGCTTCTGTAGGGGCATCCCCATCTACGTCTTTCAGATCCGCCACCTCGACTCCAAAGCCGTCCACGACTATGAGAAGTCTACCGAGACCACCTACAGCAAGGCCAAGACCGATGGAAAGACGCCGCCGAAGCTGCTGCGCCTGTTTGCGCTGTACGAAAACCTGACCCGCTTCGTCCAGCCCCTGTCGTCCGAATGCGTCGATCGCGAAAACCCCGAGACCCCCATTACCCTGAGCACCAACATCGTCGACATCTCGCATGTCAGTATACGCATGTTCTGGAACCTCAAGGCGCATATGCAGGCCGCTAGTCAGCTGGCTACCGCGCATTACCCCGAGACCCTAGATCGTGAGTTCTCTCCCTCCCGTGGAACCAACCTCGTCGTCGCGGAAATGTCTACAACAGGGGAAAAATGGATAGATGGATAGATGGGTATATGGATAGAATGTGACTAACACGTATTACCACAATAAGGAATCTTCATCATCGGCGCGCCCTACTTCTTCTCGACCGTCTGGGGCTGGATCAAGCGGTGGTTCGACCCCGTCACCGTGTCCAAGATCTTCATCCTCAGCGACCACGATATCCTGCCCGTCCTGACCACCTTCATGGAACTCGAGGACATCCCCAAGAACTACGGCGGCAAGCTCGAGTGGAGCTTCTTCGACGAGCCCGCCTACGACGACGAGATCAAGCGCGTGGTGACGTGGGAGAACGGCTTCACCAACTTCCCCCCGGGACCCTGCCACTGGCACCCTACCGAAGACGGCACAAGGCTGGCGTGCGTCGCCGTCGGCAGCAAGGACGGCCAGGAGAGACGGGTGCAAGTGTGCACCATTCCCAAGGCATTTCCGCCTGGGTCTGATGTCTCCAGCAAGACTTCGGTCGTGGATGGTGAGGAAGGGGGGGCTACTGACACAGGAGGCGAAGACGCTACGACAGTGGCTACCACGATCGAGTCTACCACCGAGGCCGTGTCAGGCCTCGCCATCACCGACGCTAAGGGCTCGACCGAGAACATTTCTGTGAAGATTGCTGACGCGGCCGATGCCGCAGCCACCGAGACGAAAGCGTAGTGACTGCGCCTTATATAGATGGACTGGTATGTTTAGAAAGAAGGATTCTCTAGATCCTATACGCGGTTAGACGTCGGATTCGTCTTATTTTGAAGACGTAGTTGGTAGCGTGTCAGTTGGATAATGCCTTACACGATGGAAGAAGAGGCCTATGTCCTTTGCCTCGTTAATGTTTTTTGGTCATCTACAGAATAGAATTGGTATCATTTCGATGGCGATGCGCACAGTCTAACAAAGATATGCAACGCCGAACAACCTGCCCACAAAAAAAATATGATGTCGTCTGGCCGTCTATCTGTCCGTCTATCCGTCCATCTATCAGTCCTTCCGTATGTCGTCTAGATAGTTTTTTAATGTATGTCATGCCATGCTATACCATATCCTCGTTGCGCCCAAAATAAAACCTCTAAGCCAGAAACGCCGGGCCTTTGCAAATCTTAGAATATCTTCAGTCTCGCTGATGCAGGTTGCGAGTCGCAGGTTTTCGCATCCCTCCTCATTCCACGCCCTTCCGCCGCCTCCACTCCAGAATCCCGCTCTCGACCTCAGCCCAGCTCACGCCGTCGCGGACCAGCCACATGGTGACACCCAGCGTCTCGGCATCGCGATTGCGCCTCTCGTCGTCGAAGAAGAGCATCTCAGCATACGGGATGCCAGTGCGCTTATGCAGCGCCTCGAAATGACGGATCTTAGACGAGGGGTATATCTCCAGGCCCGCATCGAAGAAATCAATCGCCTTCCTCGCCTTGTCCTTGCTGCCCCCTCCCTTGCCCCCGCCATCCCCATTCTCCCGCTCGGCGCTGGAAAGAAGAACGACGCTCGCGGGCGGCACGTGCAGCATCTTGAGCATGTCGCGCCCGAGGTCGGGCGCCGAGGTGCGGCTCGCGACGCCGAGGCGCACGCCGGCGAGGGAGAGCCCGTGCAGGATCGCGGGGACGTCGCGGTAGAAGGCGAAGGACTCGCCGACCTTGTCCGTGCAGGCGGCGTGCGAGGCGTCCCGGGGGCGCAGGGGCGGGTGCACGTGCGTGTCGACCCAGAAGGGCCAGAGCGTGTAGTCCAGGTCGAAGACCACCGCGCGCGGCAACGGGCGGCCGTCGGTCAGGATGCGCGGGAGCGTGGGGCCGGCGGCGGCGGCGGCGGCGGTTGTGGTTGTGGTTGAGGTCGAGGAGAGGGAGGTGCTTGTGGATTGCTTGGAGAGTTTGCGCGGCATTTTTTGGGGGTGGTGGAGAGGATGGTTTGGGTCGGGCCGATTCGGTGCGCGGTTGTGCGCATGGAAAAGGGCGCAAGATAAGATCGTGAGAGGCTTGAGGATAGGTGGTGATGGTGTTGGTCAAGGTACCTGGCTGGTATTCAGATCTATCTACCTAGATCAAAAGATAAGCATACTAGAGGACCCACCCTGTGGGGGACCCTCTTCACTGCGTTCAGAGGGCCCCAATACTCGTAGACACCCCAATAATCATAGACACCGCCTATACCTCTCTTTTACACCTATTTACACCTAAACTGCTACTTTTGGACCTGCGAACAAACAGCTTTCTTTCTAGTCCTTTGGTTTGAAACTAAAACTGTAGCTTGGCTATATAGCTTACTTCACAGCTGTTAGGTTGTTTTTTATCTACTAGCACACGTTGTTGTGTAAACGCTGTATGTATGTAAGTCATATGTGTGTAAATGTATGTTGATTACGTAAAGTAACTAGGTGTAAGTTGTGATTATACCAGCTTGTATGTCTGTTCAAAAGCTTCAATTCAAGGGCTTCAAGAGCTTCAAGGGCTTTAATATGTACAGGACCTAATAGGTCAATACTGTAGCAATTATATATATATATACATGAACGTGCTGGAAGCCATGGTACGGGCGTACGAGAGGTTGCGACCGCGCAGATGGCTTCATTTACCTATTTCTTAGGCAATACAGCTGTATAGGTGTACAGACCTGTACAGGCTTATGCAAAGCAGTAAGGCTATAATTGAGCTCAAAAACGCGTTTATTGCACTCAATTCTTACAATATAACAACTTGCAAGCTAGCTAGATTACAGGTGGTTGAGTATTGCCGTCGCGAAAAAACGCGTTTTGACACCAAAAAGTCAGATTTACTAGTAAATTTGGTGGTCGGCTGACAGAGTGGTGTCTATGATTATTGGGGTGTCTACGAGTATTGGGGCCCTCTGAACGCAGTGAAGAGGGTCCCCCACAGGGTGGGTCCTCTAGTAGGTACCTGGGAGAAAGGTGCAGGCTAGACTAAGAAAGCCCCGCTTTTACATAAGCTAAATAAACACTTATTACCATAGATATCTTAAAATAAAAAGAGTAATTATTTTATTACAAAACGCATTTTTAGTCTACATAACTATAGCGACTTCCTAAGAAGTTGCTGCAAAGCCGTACTATAAACAAAGCAGCTGAAGTCGAACGTAAGCGCAAAGACGTAGAACGGAAATATAATAGCAAGGGTAAACATGGGCAAATCCAGCTCTACAAGGAGACCTTGCACTCAGTGTTAAAAATAAGTTGGTACTTTTAAACCGAGGAATTTCGTGTCGTAGAATTCACCTTATATTGAGGTGAGTTGAAGTGATTTTCCGCAGCGGGAAACTAAAAGGTATAACGAAGCGAAGGTTGCAAGCTCTCACTAATTTAATGGATTGCAATGCGGTAATTATGTTGTTGTAGAGGTAATAGTGTGGAAGCGAGCCTCAAGCGGCTAACAAAAATTCCGAATCTCGAATCTCTATACCTAAAAAGGTTTGGCACTCTCCGGAGTCGAGCCGGAGGTCTCCGCTGCTTCACAGCTCGTGCTACCGACAGCGGCATATTACCCCTATACCAAGTGCCTAACTTGTGCATCCACCTTTCAAATACTATATTCACTTTGTATCCCCAACCCCTGCTTCAATTTACCCCATGTGCGCAATGGTGCGCCGTAGTAGCCGCAGTCCACGCGTTATCTGCGCCGTTATCCATTTTCCGCCACCCGACGACTATCAAAAAAAGCTGAAGTTTGAGGGGATATGCTGTAGGTACTTAAACAAGTTAGCTACGGTCGGCATGGGAACCCCTTGCTGCAACGCTTACATAGACCTCGCCCCCATCACTTCCCCCTCCCCCTGGGCGCTGAAGTACCATTTCAACCTGTTTGTTCCCCGCATTTTCCTCTTCCCCAACTCTAGGGTAACTATCCCGAATTCCGGGGTTAGTATCGGGAATTAAAGCTTCTCGAAGTTCTAGAGGGCTTGGCGGGCTATATAATATTAAATACTAACTATCCCGGAAATTCGCGACATATGCGTAGATACGAATGTATCCTATTTTAGGTACCTAGAATAGGTACTGTACGCGTAATCTATATCTCTCTTAAATAGTTGGTACGAGGCTGAAACGGCGCCCATTACAGGATGCGACGGCATGAGAACCCTGCGATCTCTGGTGCGGAGATATAAGTAAGTAAAAGGGTCAAAACTATCTATAGGTCTTCTTAAATTCTGTAATAGACAGTAGGCATTGTAAAATAGTGTCGCAGGAGCACCAGCTAGATTGGTTGTATAAGTAAATCATAGCTGATCTTCTCTTAATATAGGCATCTCGTGAATATGAATAAGAATACTGGCTACATACGGACTCCTCCACGTCCGATCCCGACCCTAGTCAGCCATTGTTCCACAGCATAGAGCCTCGTACAAGAGATTGCATATAAGACACTCGTGTGCCACGTTTATTCAATTCTATAGCATCTCAAGTTTAGCTCTGTGTAACTACGACTAGACTATAGCTTAGTGCTATACTATACAATTTCATTAATTAATTGTTACCGTCCTTCCATCCGGACTTCTAAGGCCCAAAAAAAAACCACCCCTAAATCAAGATGACAGCGCAGCCTCCCCACAAAATCCAGCTCGTACGCATCGCCCATGCGTACTACAAATACGCAGACCTAGAAAAAGCAAGGCAGTTCTTCGTCGACTTCGGCTTCACCGAGGAGCGGACGCTCGCCGACGGGAACGGCGAGTCCGAGAAGATCTACTTCCGGGGATACGGCGCGGAGCCCTGGGTCATCTGCGCCTCCAGGTCTGAGAAGCCCGCGTTCGGCGGCAGCGCCTTCGTCGTCGAGTCCGAGGAGGACCTACGCATCGCCGCCGAGACGCTACCCCAGGCCTCTGATATATACGAGTTGCACGATGCCCCTGGAGGCGGACGATGCGTCACTTTCTTCGATCCCGTTGATGGGTGGCCAATGCACCTTGTTTATGGACAGAGGAGTGCCGAAATGCTGGATATTCCTCTGCCTAATACACCCGTTAATTACGTGAGCTATACACCTTTTCCCTATCCCCTGGGAGGGGAATTTTTGTGTCTTAGCCCGAGACTCAAAGGAGGCATATTAAGCCGCTACTGGTCTCAACGAACGACTGACACCCACGGTTTTCTACCGCATAAAGCCAACAGAGAAGAACCGAGCACCCAATAAGACCCAGCGATTCACGAAGCGTCCGGCGCCGGTCCACAAGCTCGGCCACTTCGGCGTGCGCACGACGGATTACGCTAAGGCACAGGAGTTTTACTCCTCTCGCTTCAACTTTCTCGCGAGTGATGTAAGAGGACAGCCCCGAACCTAAATCACTGCACCCCCCTCCCTATATTTCCGCCACCGCCTTCATAGAAATGCTCCGAAGTTCCACGCCTGAGACTGATGGATCACTTATAAACAAAGATCATCCACGACGCCGAAGGTATCAACCGCACCGTCTTCTTCCGTCTGAACAGAGGGGACGAGGAGGTCGATCACCACGTGTTCTTCCTCCTCGATGGCCCATCTTACAAGGTCCACCACTCGTCGTTCGAGACGCACGATTTCGACACGCAAGTCCTAGGCCACGACTGGCTGCGGGAGAAAGGGTATAAGAACTGCTGGGGCGTGGGACGCCATGTCTTGGGAAGCCAGATTTTCGATTATTGGTGAGCTCGTTTTTCTTGCCTCTTTGCTGATTTCCTTATTGTCATTGTTGCTGTCCGTCAAGCCTACTATAGGATGAGTACTGGAGGATAGGGTGGAGGACTGGCTGACTTTGCGGACAACAATAATAGGTTTGACCCTAGTGGTTTCGTTTTTGAACACTACGTCGATGGAGACCTTCTCACGGCTGATGAGCCGACACATCGCTCGAAAGCTGGGCCTGGACTTCTGCATGTCTGGGGTGAGTAAGATGACTAGATCATGCATGGATGGGCGCTTGGAGGAACAAGAATCTATATCGCTAACTTGGTGATAGGTCCTGATGTCCCTGCAACGTTCCTAGACTAAATATCGCGTGTGTCTAATAAGCTCAGCTGGCAGTTTGATAATGCAAGTGATAAATGCCGAGGCTGCCTGAAGATATATATGTGTTCATTGTACCGTTCCAATTTGGGTTCGTCATTGGATCAGTCCTATTCTCATAAATGTCTTTTATGTAGTCGTAATTGTTGTAATTTCTGGCCTGGGTCTTAAGAGCTCGCTACTAGTGATGCCTGTCACTTCGAGCCAAATACTCTTCTGTCCAATGGAACTGTACTTCGGTGGTTCCTCTTCCTTACATGCCTATGCGCCTGCATAGGCAATCAAAGGCTATCTAGTAGGCACGCTGTTTCATGAATGTTGAGCCAAGGGGTATCTGAGTTTAGTATACAACGGGAAATTGTACTAGAAGTCCAACTTCAATAAGTCGTATAGCATTGCAACCTAGGTGCATCTGTGACTTATATAAGCGGAATAAAGTGCTTGTGTTGACTCTAGACACCTCAAGAACCAAAGGACAGAGTCGAGGTTATGCATTGTGTGATACAATGCCCGTGCTGGGAAGTCCGCGCGCCTATGCCTAAATGAAGATTTCCCTAATCCCGCAAGCAATTGATTGTTTTTACTTCGAATTAAGTAATTCATCGTCGCGCTAGACTGCCAGTTGCATAGTTAGTAAGGTAAGGGCATGGCCTGAGGTAATAACTATCGCAGCCCTATTGGACAGAGCTAGAGCCACATACGCAATCGAACAGAATATGTCCTCCCATAATTGTGCTCTATCGCAAAGAACTTAGTTTAGAGTAAGCTATTGTTTAGAATTAGTAACTTGGTTTACGAAATGTCGAATGAACAAATACCTTCATGAAGCGATTATCCGACATTCTCACGAATAAGCGAGTCGGATGATGGCGATGAGATGAGATCCGTAGCTTTCAGATTCGGCTAATGTCGTTGTGCAGGCTAGCAGCTCGTAGTCTAATGCTCACACGAACCTGCCCCTCATAACTAAACGCCGCCATATTGCCTCCTCATCCTCATCCTGGTCAACGGTAAGATGCGTGGGTGTTGAATCAATCGGATCCGGATTGGCGCAGAGCTCGAAGAAGTCTTCCTCCATTCCCTCACCAGGAGCGAATCCCAAGTTAATTAAAGTGTCCCTTGGCACCGAATCGAGCCTAATTGGAGGTTATTACAAATCCCTCGTTAAAAAAAAATAAAGAGTCTACTTGCCATTGAGAATGATAAGCTGGATCAATATCAGGCAGCTCCCGTGTCGGATTATTTCGATCATCACTTTGGTATGGGGTTCGTAACGCACTCGGTAAGGGGCTGAAATCATTCAAGTTTGCGGGTGTTCCCACATCTGGGACATGAGTTTTATTATACTCATGGTAATCGTTTACTGAACTATTAGATCCGAAGCCCGCGCTCTGAGGGACCGGTGACCTTCCATGGCCAGAGCCAGCATAAGAGCGCCGTGGGTCTTGGGACAGGTCAAATGCACGTCGTCGGATATCCTCGCTCTGGAGATATATATCACTTGGGTTTTGGGGCGCGCCATGGGGATTGACTGCGACAGAAGCGGTCCCAGAGCTCGATGACGTTCTCCGGTCGTGCTGGTTGGGAGCGATAGGGAGGGCGCATGGTTGCCCTCGAGCACCGTTGGTTTGTCTGGCACCTGCCTCACTGCGCTGGTGCTCGAAGTGTGAGACGAGAGGCAGGTCTTGGTCTAACGGTGGAAGATGTAAGTCGGGTGACTCGCCATTTTGCAGGAATCGAGCAATGCGGCTCTCATTAAACTTGTTTACCAGGTCTGTCTGGTTGTCGTTGTTGCGATAGTACTCTAAATTAGAAACACCTGTATTGCCGTAGGTGCCGCCACGAAGTGCCTGCAACACGATGTCCTCGATATCGGGCCTCGCCTGGAGGACTATGGCCCATAGACGCTCACCGTTCTGGCCGGTGTAGCCACTGCGCGGCCCTCGCTTACGGACAGGCCGATTGTACGTGCACTCGGTCCCGGCGCGGACACAGACACTGCACTTGGGGGCGGCGTTGTCGCAGGGCTGGTGCTGGGAATTGCAGCGGTCACAGGCCCGACTCGCCTTGCGCTTCTTGGCCGCCCGCCTGCCATCATCGCTCTCGCCATCGCTCATGGCCTCCGCGGCAGGGTCAGGTAGCGGTGACGCCCGCTGCCGCTGCCGCTGCCAGGAATAGGGCACCGTTAATCGGGAACAGCAATGACCGAGTGTGTGGTTTGTGGGGTTGCTAGTGTGCAGGAAGAGAAAGGACTCAGTGGGTGCAGGATTGGTTGCGCCGTCTTATGAGCGGATAGAATCGCAGCTGCAGGGCAAAATGTTTCATGTATGAAAGGCAATATCTACCTAGTCATATGGATATGGAGGAGAGGGTAAAGGCGGCTTAGTAATGACGAACGCTTGGCAATGGCGCGCGTCAATGGCAATATCGAGGAGATAGCTATACTTAATATGCCTCACTGCTGCGTTGCGCGTGGTAAGAGGTCATATCATATTGAATTCTTACTAGATAGTACACTTAC